GGGATTTAGAATCACCTCCAATCACCAATTCACTCATTCACCCACTCATTCGAAGACCTCTTTTTGACTACTTGGCCACTTTGCTTCATGAGGAATGTTAGACATACAACTAAAAATTGACACTGTCTGTAATTTCTGGATGAACCCCTCACAAGTTATAAGGCAAGTCATACTCAGCTTGAATAAATCTCAAAATCAGTGCTGAAGAAGCGTAATGCTGCGACTCCCTGACAGAGTGTTCATCATGGCTGTCATATGGTCTTGGTCATTAGTGGAATATACCTAAGCTTCGCGCAAGAAAATATGAAAGTTTCCAGGCAGTCAGTTTCGTCGGCTGCTTATCCTTCCTGTTTGCGAAGGCAGACTCGTCAGACGGTGTCTCAACGCTTTCGATCTTGTGCCAGCGTTTCAGCTTCGGGTAAAGTTGACCCATATCTGGAGCATCATTACTTTTAATATTTTTAAAATGGGATTTTCTGATAACTTATTTGGATGTTTAGGCTACAGCTGACGATCATCCTGCTCGTAATGCTTTCAACATTATATCCCGGTTTGTTGTTTTTGAGCGGTCTTACCGTGTGCCTTGTGAGGGAACCATGGCTGAGGTTTTTCGCTGTGGAATTTGCAGCTACCAGGTTTGTCGGATGTGTCTTTCGCTGTTACCTGTTTCTGTAAGTTCCATGATTGCAGTATGTGAGACACGATAAGTTTTGCTCAGTTACTCTTAACATTCCGACCTCTCCCTTTCCGGTAAGCAAACTTATTGTTGTTAAGCATTTTGTGCTGTTTTTCTAGAAAGTACGACTAATGAGCTGCTTACGACAAAGCTTTGCGCCTGAATTGATCAGGGACAAACAGTGTGAACGCTGCGAACGGCGCGATGCGATAATGGGCGATTCCATACATCCGAACGGTAATATGACCAGGCAGCAACGCTTCAGTAGAGTAAGACGCATTGTAAAAGGGAAGAGAAAATTTGCATAATCGGTGTAATGCTTAGCTACCGAAATGCCTGATTTTCTTGATTCAGCGAACGGTGTGGTTCAGCGACCTCCAAGCCAGAAAACTTACCAAACCCATCGAAATGCAGGAGTTCGTTGACCTTCGCAGCTACATGTACCATTCTGGCGATGTTCCTTCAGAATATTCAGCAAAGTAAGACGACTCTGTCAATTGGCACTTTAAGTTTTGTGCAGTTCTCTTTCTTTACGTGACGCTTTCCTTGTCACGAATGCTTGTTGTTTATCGAGATTGTCTACTCTCATCAGCAGTGAAATCAGATAGTGATCTTCATCTTCCATCTTCCATCGCCGCTTCTCCTTTCGGGTCGCGGAGGCAGACGCGTCAGACAGTGCT